ATTGACAAAAAGGAAGAGCAGGGACAACTAGTGGGGGAGGGGAGTTTAAAGTAGAAAAAAGAGTTGGAGGTTGCCCTCTTGAGAGAGGAGATATCTTGGAAGCAAAAATCAAGCGTGAGGTGGATCAAAGGAGATGGAAATACAAAATGTTTCCATAGGATAGCAAATGGAAGAAGGAAAAATTTTATTTCAATGTAATAATCTAAAGGCCTTTGCAAATGGTAGGAGAAGGAAAAATTTTATTTCGGTGTTGGACTTGGAGGGTGGAATAGTTACCCAACAAAATGATATTGCAATGCCCTTTGTGGATCATTTCAAATCAGTCTTTAGGAAGCCGGTGACAGGGAGATAGAAGCTAGAAGGATTGGAATGGCCAACATTGGATAGTAATTTGAGTAGAATTTTGGGTAGATGGTTTGGTGAAGAAGAGGTAAAGAATGCAATTTTCTCTGTGATTGTTCTAAGGAACCAAGCCTTAATGGTTTTATTATGCCTTTAAGCTTTTTACCAAGACTATTGGGAGTGGTTAAAAGGGGACTTTGTATGAGGAGTTTTTTCGTAGGGAGATTATCAGCAAGGTTGTTAATGCAACTTTCATTGCTTTGATCCCTAAAAAGTCAAGTACTTTCCATCCAAAGGATTTTAAACCGATTAGTTTGGTGACTAGTCCGTACAAGATTCTAGCCAAGGTTCTTTTCCTTAGACTAAAAAAGGTCTTCCCTTCAATCATCTCACAATTCCAACGGGCTTTCATACAAGAGGGACAAATTTTGAATCAAGTACTTATTGCCAATGAATGTGTGTTGTGCAAATCGGATCTAGAAAAGGCCTATGATTTTGTAGATTAAAATATTTTAGTTGAAGCTATGAAAAGTTGTGGGTGAAGGTAGTGTTGAGCAATCATGGGCTTGTGGCTAATGAATGGGATGTTGCAAGTCAGGCTAGACTACTAAAGCTTCCCTGTGAAAAGCCATCCAAGCTATTCTTTCATTGCTCTTGCCTTGGTTCAGGTATGATTTGCATTTTGATAACCGAATTAAGTTGGGAACAAGTCTGGTTTGGGAATTTTCCTTTGAGGGATCAATTTCCATCCTTATTTGCTATTTCCAACTATAAGAATGAGCTTATATATGCTTTTTTTTATGCCTTCCAATTATAGTATTGGGTTTGAATGGGTTTTGGGATTCAGAAGGGCTATTAGGGACACAAAGTTAAGTAGTACTTTGACTTTAGTGGGTATTCTTGATGGGGGATTTTCTGGATCCTACTAAGCTTGACAAAAGGATTTGGACCTTTTCTCCCTCTGGTTCATTCACTTGTGCTTCCTTTTTCAAAGGCTTGACGCAGCCAAATGTATTGGGGGTTTGGTTTTTCTTACAAAAGAGGTTTGGGGTAAATGGTAAACCTATTCCACGAAGGGTTGAGAGCTTTTGTTGGGAGGCTTTCCTGGAAAGGATCAACACTTGTGATTTTCTTCAAAGAAAAGATCTAAAATGTGTTCATCCCCTCATCAGTATATTCTTTGTAAGGCTGATGGTGAGAATTGCTACCACTTATTAATCTTCTGCTACTTGTTAAAGGTATTTGAGAATGGTTTTCTTCTTTGTTTGGGTGCAGGTAGACTCCTCCCTCCCCACCCCCCAATGTGCAAAGCTTGTTTGCCTCAATCTTTTCCAGTTGGCCAAAGAAGAGGGAGGTGGAGGTTTGTAAGGGCTGCCATTAGCTAGACCATTTGGGAGGAAAGGAATTCAGGAATTTTTTTTAGAGAGAAGGAAGCTCTTATGGGGTTGGTTTTTACCAAAGTGGTACACTAGCTGAAGTCTTTGGAACTCTTTCAAGGTTTGGATGATTTGCAAAGAAGTTGGAAAACAATTGCCATCTCAGCCCTGATTAGGGAGGCCCCGGTCTTGTCTTGGAGCCCTCCTCCCAATGGTTTTTTCAAGCTGAACTTTGACAAAGCAGTGGTTGAAATCCAGGGCCCTTAAGCATTGGAGTGTGATAAGTAATGAGGAAGGGAATTTAGTTGCTCTTTTCTCAAGACCAATTGGAGAGGGTGACTCCCTTAGGGCTGAGATTCTAGCAGCCTTGGAAGGTGTACAAAGAGCCAAGGAGCTGAACATTAGCAAACTTATAATAGAAAGGGATTCTAAAATGGTGTAAACCCTTAAATATTTATGGATTCCTCTTGGTGCCAACTCTAGGAATTTGACTTTTTGGAATTTGGTAGTGGAGAGGTTTGAAAAGAAATTGGCAGTGTGGAAAAGGAACTATGTTTCTTTGGGAGGCACAATAACACTCATTAAGTCCACTTTAGCCTTTGTGAAAGGGATTGAGAAAATTATGAGGGTTTTTTTTTTTTTTGTGGGAACCAGGGGTGGAAAAGGACCAATTAGTAAGGTGGGAAGTGGTGAGTAGAAGAAAGGAATTTGGTGGCCTGGAATTAGGAAGAATGAAGGAAAAGAATTTGGCTCTACTAGGTAAATGACTATGGAGATTCTTGTGGGAAACAAACAAACTGTGGTATAAGGTGGTGGTCAACATTCATGGGCTCTCTGAGAATGGTTAGGATGTTGGAGTCTCTAGTAGGGCATCTAGTTGCTTCCAAGTGGAAAGTTGTTCATAAGGTTCTTCCACTTTTTCTCGGTCGCATCAGGTTTGATCTCAATTCAGGTAATTAAATTAGGTTTTGAGAAGATTTATGTGTGGGTGAAATTCCTTTAATGGATTTGTTCCCTTATTTGTTTTCCCTTTCATATTTCAGGGGAAGATCAATTTTTGAGTTTTTAATTCCCTCTCCCTCACTTTTTGGGTGTGGGTGGAATTTGGGTATCGTAGGAATGTGAGAGACACAGAATTGGGCCTTGTTTCAAACCTTTTACAAATCCTTGAGGAGGCTTTCCTTGATACTAGTAAAGGAGGCACTCATTTGTGGACTAGTCATCCTTCTAGGTCTTCTGCCCAATCTCCAATGCTTTTTCTAGTTAAAGAAGTTTGGTGTCGGCCTATCCCCCCCCAAAGTGGGTGCTTTAGGTTGGGATGTGATCCATGGTGCTATTAATACTTGTGACTTGCTCCAAAGGAAGAGACCAGGCTGGTGCCTTCCCCAAATTGGTGTATCTTGTGTGAATCTAAGGTGAAACTGTTTATCATCTTCTAATCTCCTACCCCTTTGCTTGTTGTATTTGGGTTTGGTTTTTGTCATTTTTTGGTTGCAGATGGAACACTCGAAATAGAATGGACAGGTTATTTGGCTATTCTACATTCAGGTAGCCAAAGAGAAGAGGGAGGTTACTTTGGAGATGTATGAGGGAAACAGTGATCTGGACAATATGGGAGGAAAGAAATCTTAGAATTTTTAGAAGAGAAGGAAGCCTTGAAGGGACAATATGGGGGCAGCTGAGGCTACCCAAGAATTGTAATATGTTGATTTTAAATTCTTGGAGGGACAATAAAAAAATCCCTTTACAAAACCAGATTCCTAACCTTCAATGTCAAAACAAATACTCTAAACCGTGTGTCTGAAAGGGGATTGGTGCCAGGTTTTCAAGAATAACTAGATACGTTTAGAAAATTTTGAAGGTACCCTAGCATATGTGACTCCTTGAGAGTAGAGATCATGGCATTGTTGCAGGGAATTAGGTTAATATTCTACTTGGTCCTTGAGAGGTTGAGGTTGTGGGGATTTTCTAGGGTGGTGATAGTTCGGAAATTAGAAGACTTTGAGGGTGAAGGACCTTGAGTTGAGAGACCTTATTAATGAGGATAGGGCCTTAGCTTCTAGGCTGAATATGTTTAAATGGATTCAATCATTTAAGGTTGGGTAACTCTTAGGGCTGTAAATGGATAGAATTAGAATCATATATGCCTCTATCCAAAGTTGATTCATTAACATATGTGAGGTTGTGGGGGTTTTCTAGGGTGGTGATAGTTCGGAAATTAGATGACTTTGAGGGTGATGGACCTTGAGTTGAGAGACTTTATTAATGAGGCTAGGGCCTTAGCTTCTAGACTGAATATGTTTAGATGGATTCACTTAAAGGTTGGGTAACTGTTAGGGCTGTAAATGGATTGAATTAAAATCATATATACCTTAAAGGTATTAATGCCTCTGGCATACTCCTCAGGGCGTTTTGGGAGCAGCTACATGAATCCTGTTTTGCCACTTCGTTCTGTTCAGTGCCATATCCAGCCTACCATTAATAATATAAGGTAAAATATTATCAAAATTTTATATATTACTAATAAAGCAAACTAGAAGTGGCATTGATATTAATAAAATGAATTTGAAAATGACTTTTATGAGAATAAAATCTGCGGCTCTTAAGTAAAAAAACAATATTCAATCCAACTTTGAATTATACTTGTGTGTGTGTGTGGATCCATATATGATCCAACTATAAACTGATTGAATTTTGAATCACCATAATTGGATTGAATCTGAATTTGGACTAATGGATACTGTTTGTGGCCATAACAACTCAATGAAAAATAGTTGCTAGAAGGACTTGAAGAATGGAGATTGACTTGCGTTAGGGATCAATGGTACAGGGCTATTGCTTTTTTTTAGGAGGGTGTACTGATGATGGCTCACTTTGCCACTTTTCCTGTCTTTGGAGCAATAGACTTGCATATACTTTCTTATGCTGTTAATTAATAGAGTTTTTTTTTGTTAATGGTATGGAGAAAGACTGTAAATTTTGTATCCATTTCCCAGATATACCTGTACCATGCCTCTCAAAGATATGAATCCTGTAACTGACTTACCAATAGGCATAAAAATATTTTAATGATTGTTTATGATGTGCTTAATTAATTGGTTGAGTCATCTTGTAATTTTTTCTTCTTTACATCAGTAGTATGGATGGATTGTTTTTTCTTGAACGAAGCACCCAGAGCTTAACTTGTGTTGGCAAAACTATTTTATTTTATTTGTTTGGTTATGCTTGCTTCTCATTCATTCTTGGGGTTTGCATTCCTAATGTTGAGTGATCTTCAAGCAGGCTTCTTGACCCAGATTTGGAAAGTTCTGGATCACTATTTGTTGGTAGCTACATTCTACAACTTATTTTGCATTTGCCTTTGCAAATGGCACAACATATCCGGGATCTCATTACAGCTCTTGTTAGGCGCATGCAATCTTGTCAAATTGCAGCTTTGAAAAGTTCGTTGCTGGTTATTTTTGCAAGATTGGTAATTTGTTTCTACTTGTCTTCATTTTGTCTGAGAGGCTTGAGTTCTTCATTTGCAATCTTGTACTGCTTTGCATTTGCTTGAGTTTCTCATATTACCTTCTATGACATATATGCCTCTAAGTGAAAATGATGCAGGACATGAAGAAGAGAAGAAAAAGGCCAAATCTTAGATTGCCAAGAATTCACTAGAAAACTGAGGTCTTGTGCTAGGTTGACAGGGCTTTTGGCTTCATTGGGGCCCAAAGGTCTGGGAGCCTGGGCCACACACCTGGTAAGGGGTTTTGTTGCTTGGACCCAGCCTGGCCTGCATGTTGGGCCCCAGTTGCAACCAGACTTTCTGGTCCTAAAAGCTGTATTTCATATTATACGAGGCCTGATGGAAGTTTAGGGTCCAGGCAAGCCGCGCTTGCACAGAAAATCTTGGTCTAGGCCTAGGAATTTGTGCACTGGACAGGCTGGACTAGCAATGATCAATACTGGTACTGAATCCAGGGTTTCATATGAATGTATATATATTTATATGTTTAATGTAGAACTCTGCTATTTGGTAATTTGGCTGTCTTTCTTCAGTAGTAACCTGGGTCATATCCCAATTCTAGAGCTGCAACTTAGGTAAACTGTAGGCGCAACTTAAGCTAGGCCTAACCCAAACTGAGCTTTTTTAGGACCTGAATTTAAATTTTCAGGCTTCAGATTTGGCCTGGGCCTTGAAAAATCTTGGGTTAGGTTTAGGTTGACACCTTGGTAGCCCTGAGCTTGACCCAAAGCCTATTGAATGTAGGCCAAGTTTGGTCCAGCCCAAGTATGGCTTGACTTGCCGATGACGTTACATGCACACTGCTCTGTTCTTGTCCCTTAATCCCCGTGTAATGTATAATATGTAATACCTAAAAAAAAGTATGGATCCAGCTTAAGTTTTTTGCACAACTAAAAGGAGGCTTATTTGGTATTGGGCCTAAAAAGCTCGTCAAAAAAACCAAAAGAGCAGATAGAAGATAACTAGAAGAAGGTTTCTCAAAAAGTTGATAAGAAGAGTTTGTATTTGGGACTTGGGAGTCCTTTGTGGGATGGGTTTTCTGTGAGTGTTAGCTGTGGTGTTAGGGTTGGGTTTTTGCTTTAGTACTCCCATGTTGATTCTCGATGTTTTTTCTGGTTTGTAAAAGTCGTTGGGTGTAGTTTGGGTTGGTTTTGTTGGGGTTTGGGGTTTTCTTGCGTGGTGTTCCCGGGTTTGTTGTTTTCCCTCAGGTGATTGTTTATCACCTTTCTTGTATCTTCTTTTTGTTTAGTAAAATTTTATTTTATCTTAAAAAAAGTATGGATTGACTTCATTGACATATTAAAAAATGTGATGTAATGATGCAATTTACAAATATGGTGTCAAAATGCTTTTGTAAGAGGATTTGAACCCTAAATCTTATATATAATAAACAACCCTTCAACCATTTAGCCAAGTTCAATCAACCTTTAGTAACAATATATATATATATATGGAGTATATATATTATTCCCAACCCAGGCATGGCTAACACAGGTCAAAAAATGTTTTGGTTTTGGTTTGGGTGGTCTTCAACTTGGGCCAAGCCCCAAGGGTTCGCTTTTATAGATTGGCTTGGGTTGGCCCTGAACATGGCCCAACCCACCCAAGCTGCAGCCCTATCCAATTCTTTCTCTCTAACTAGGAATACAGCTTGGGCTGGTTGTGTCGCTTCAATTCAGGCAAACTAAGGGTTGGCCCTCGGTCTGAAATATGTTCCATTGCAAGAGACCTAACCTAAATGCTAAACAAATTTTTGCTCAATCTTCAGAAGGGTTCAACTTGGTTGGTTTCTGGGCTTTTAGTGTGAACTGTGTGAAAAGTAAATAATGTTGGCAGTTCTTTTCTAATACAATAACATTATATAAAACATATAAGTTTAACACTTCATATGTAGCGCATAAATTCATGGAGTATATGTATCTAGTGTGTCATCTGTCATCTATATGTAAATGCATGTTCTGTATTATATATGTTTCATAAGCGGTGTTCAGGCAAGCTTGGGTACCCATGGCCTAAGCAAGCACAAAGCATTGGGGTAGCCCGTTGACCAAAAACCAATCCAACTCATGCAAAATTTCAGTGTGTGATTGGTTCAAAAAGTCGAATACCTTAACTAGAACAATTATCCACTTGTCCATGAGTAGAATCTGAATACTCCC